CTCCCCAGCGCCGTTTCCGCGTTGCCGTTGCGTAAATACAACATTTCTGCGTACCAAGAACTGTACAAAATGTACGGGACCAAAGTAAACCATTCGTCATGTTTAAGGCAGGACATATCATAAATAATCACAAAACAGGTAGATTAATGATCTTAGCTTCAATTTTTTATAATTATGGCGAGCTCCCGAGCGCCGCACACACACAGCACCCGCGACACCGGCGCCATTACTGCTCGGGGCACAACATTACTGCGAACCATAAAAATGTACCGGGACAAGGTAGCAAGAATCCATGAAATTTGATCCTCGACGCCAACGGGACCATGGGTTGCAGGGGGATTGGGTGGGGAATGTAAAGCAAAATGAGAACATGGCAGCTAAATAAAAGCTCACTATATGGCACCTATATATGGCATGGAACATGGATGCCAATGAGATGCTGGGTTGAAGGGGATATGGGGTGGGGAGGTTAGGTTAGGTTAGGTTAGGTTAGTAGGTTAGGTTAGGTTAGGTTAGGTTAGGTTAGGTTAGGTTAGGTTAGGTTAGGTTAGGTTAGGTTAGTTAGGTTAGGTTAGGGTAGGGTAGGTCAGCTTAGCTAAGTTTAGGTTCTGGTCTATTCTCAGGTTAGGTTAGGTTAGGTTAGGTTAGGTTAGTTAGGTTAGGGGTTAGGTTAGGTTAGGTCAGGTTAGGTCAGGGGTCAGGTCAGGGTCAGGTCAGGTCAGGTCAGGTTAGGTCAGGTCAGGTCAGGCTAGCTTAGCTCAGCTCAGCTTAGGTTCTGGTCTATTCTCAGTTAGGTTCAGTTAAGTTAGGTTAGGTTAGGTTTGGCTAGTTTAGGATATGTTCTGGACTATTCTGGCCTGCATGTTTCATAAAATGTACCTAACTCGATAAAAACGATTTGGTTGCTTTTTTTATTGTTACATTGGTCCCATACATGTTTTATGGTTCTTGATAAGCAGAAATATTGTGCTTTCGCAACAATGCAGAAATGGCACTTGGAAGTCGAGGCAGTGCAGTGCGGGGTGTGCGGCGCTCGGGAGCTCGCTATCGTATTTATTAAAATTTGAGGGTAGGAGCATGATTCTATCTGTTTTGAAATTATTTACGATATGTTCCGCCTTAAACACAACGAGTGGTTTACCTTGGTCCCATACATTTTGTAGTTCTTGGTAAGCAGAAATATTGTATTTACGCAACGGCAACACAGAAACGGCGCTGGGGAGTCCAGGCGGTGCAGTGCGCGCGGCGCTAGGGGGCCCGCCATCGAAGTTATTGAAATTTGAAGGTATGAGCATGATTCTACCTGTTTTGAGATTATTTACGATATGTGCCGCCTTGAACACGACGAATGGTGTGCAATGATTTTTTCTAACGTTAGGTAGGAAAGTACACCTACACCTGCACGACCCATTACACAATATCACACGCATCACACGTCATAACATGTGTACAGCGTGGCATACACGCAAGAAGTAACTTCGTCACATACTGCAGAACAACCAGCTATAAATGTTCTGAATAATAAAACTTACCAGTACAGCTCTTTCCAAAAAAAGCTTTTAGCCTAATCAACGACACAACCAATCCCCCAACCACCCTCCAGCACGCTCACGGCACTTCTCGGCCTCGCGCGCACGACAGGGAGACTCGCGTGGGCAAATGTCACATCTGCGCCATAGACGAGTCAGGTAGCCGTGCTGTCTATGACGCCTTAATTCACGTCCGTCAATCTAGCAGCAGATAATATCCAATTGCCAGTTGGATATTGCGGGGCATCTCGATTGCCCCCAAATTTGGTGTGCAGGGCCTTCTCGACACGCTGATTCCGAAAATTACTGCCTTTGGGAGTGGAATTTTGCGTAATTTTCGAGTTATGCGCCGCGTAACATCCCAATGTGATATTGCGGGGCGTCTCGATTGCCCCCAAATTTGGTGTGCAGGGCCTTCTCAACACGCTGATTCCGAAAATTACTGCCTTTGGGGTGGAATTTTGCGTAATTTTCGAGTTATACGCCGCGTAACATCCCAATGTGATATTGCGGGGCGTCCTCGATTGCCCCCAAATTTGGTATGCAGGGCCTTCTCGACACGCTGATTCCGAAAATCACTACCTTTGGGGTGGAATTTTGCGTAATTTTCGAGTTATGCGCTGCGTAACATCCCAATGTGATGTTGCGGGACGTCTCGATTGCCCCCAAATTTGGTGTGCAGGGCCTTCTCGTCACGCTGATTCCGAAAATCACTGCCTTCGGGGTGGAATTTTGCGTAATTTTCGAGTTATACGCCGCGTAAACATCCCAATGTGGTATTGCGGGGCGTCTCGATTGCCCCCAGATTTGGTGTATAGGGGCTTCTGAACACGCTGATTCCGAAAATCACGATCTTTGGGGTGGAATTTTGCGTAATTTTCGAGTTATGCGCTGCGTAACATTCCAATGTGATACTGCGGAGCATCTCGATCGCTTCTAAATCTTGTATGCAAGGCCTTTGGAGTTAAAAGGCGTAGAACGTGACAGCTTTAGAAAGCTGCCCTAATGGCAGTGAAACCTGCGATATATTAATGCTGCTAAATTACGTGATTCTTCTTAGTTGTCCACGTGCTTGCTGCTTTCCTTTTAACAAGCTGTCAAGGATGAGGAAGTGCAGTACCGTGGGTTGGAAGGTGCAGCTGTGGGTTGCAATGAGCAACGGTATTTTATACACGGAATTTTACTTGGCAATCTGATTTTTGGACACTGTTGGACTGACAGCTGATCTGTCCTCGTGGTTTCAATTGGACTTTGGACAATCGTTCCCGGAAAAACGTCTGGTCAGGAAACATCATCCCACCATTACACAAATGGAAAGTGATCATTCTCGCTGCCGCTGCTTTTGATGCTTGTGACCGTACTAAAGCGTATCAGTGGGTTTGTGAAAAGTCGACTACTTTGGGACTTCAGTCAAGTTTAAGTTTTATGTCCTGCAAATTGTACACATGCGAAGTGTATTTTACGCTACAAACAACACCCTAGAAAAGTTTGACTTGATTACACTTTCGGCATATGGAAATGAACATACGATACAATGCTTGACTATGAACTGTGCACATCAGACCTCACAATAAATAAGTTCTAAAACACCACTCTCCGGGCCACCATCACCTGCTTCTCTCGCACTTATGATTCCTGACATTCTTGGGGTCACACACGCCGCGCTCCTGTGGACATTTGATGCAACGCAGCGCAATGACCCTGCCACACATCTTTGCCGCTAGCCAGCCAGTCATCTCGCGTGACGGCCATCACAGGAGTACGAACACGCGACAGGCAATGCCAGTAAAAACGTCGCTTCACGGAGGCAGCGGATACGAGTGCAGCGGTGCAGTTACTTGCGACTCAGCGGCCGGTGGACGGGTTGGAGACACTTCTTCGGCTGTATACGAGTGCAGCGGTGCAGTCGCCTGCGACTCAGCGGCCGGTGGACGGGTTGGAGACACCTCTTCGGCTGGGTAAGACGAATGCAGCGGAAGCCGTTGACGCGTTGGCACCGCCGGTGGATGTTGGTAGGTCTCGGATGTCAGAGGACTCAAATGACTCGGAGCCAGCAGATCCAGGACGCGCCTTGAA